TGTTATGTAGTGTCTGCCTCTATTGTTACATAAAGATAGAGATAGACACTACCTACTGGAATTTCGCCAGCTGCAGTTTATTTATCTGCTGAATCGAGTTTAGCCAACATGAGTGATTTTTTCATCATTCTGCTGACTCGAGTTTAGCAAACATGAGTGATTTTTTCACCATTCCCGAGGAAAATCAGGCAGAAATGAGGAAGAAGAGTTTACCTTTTACCTTTATTCCTTAGGCCTACATATTTACTAACTTTTAAAGGCATGAAGTACACATTAACGATCATAAAATTGAGTTTTATTTGATGGTAGCAGTTTTTTTCTAAAAGTTTTTTCCCTGATAATTTGGCGCTCCCGAACAAAAAGTTTGGGCACCACTGAATTAGTGTATACAAATAACATGCTATATATATAAAATCAGATGGCATACTTGTCTAGTTGATGTTTTAATCACTGCACATTTCCCCTTGCGCTGAGAATCTAAATCAACATTTGCTCCGTCCTCTTCCGCTTGCTCTTGAGGATCAACATCAAGAAGCTGAAATATTCCATTTTTTCATTGTTTTGTAAATACGGTAATTAAAGTCGTTTAGAGAAGATTTAAAAGGGTTATTTATTGATAATGATAACCAATCAATATGACATGAGATTAGTTGATGTCAGTTCATAAAAGCATCTTTTGATTTTTAGAATAGGAATCTTGGGGGAGCAGAAAGACTTTAGGGCGGCGTTATCCTATGCCAAACCACTGCCTCTCATCCAGTTACCAGTCCATGTCGGGTATGGCAATAGTTTATTCAGATAATGAACTTGGATTTGCCGTACCCAACCAGCGGTTATGCGAACCACCCTACGATGGCTAAGAGTACCTACATATGTCCCAAAGCAATCGAATCCTTGCAGAGAAATCGAAGGTTGGGATGGCAAGCGTATTCCCCTCTCTTAGCATGATGTACCAACCTCCTGGATAGAAAAAATCCATAGAGTGAAGTTTCAAGTTTCAACATTATACATACCTCAATGACATTTGAGACAAGATATGGCAGTGTTTTGTTAACTTTAATTTTTTCAGCATTTTCCTTTATTTTGTCTTTCATAGCTTGCAATTCATGTGATATTCTCATCGTCTCACTTCGCATAATCTGGAAAGCAATTCAACATAAGGTATATTTTGCTCCGAAGCATTCTTACACAGTGAAAACAAAAATTTGGCACTAAAGTTCTGTCAAACAGTTTGAAAATGAGGGATTAAAAAAAAAAATTGAGAACAAAGAGCATTATATAAATATATATATACCATAAATAAATTGTTTGTGAATATATTATTTAAGTTAAAATAATATGAAGAAAACCTTAATTTCATTATCAAGAAGTTTCGTTCGACTTGCAATTTCCTCATTGCTCATTTTCATAACTTCTTCACCGAGTGCTTCCTAAAAAAGTCATATACAAAGTTAAACAGGCATCATTGGATGGCAAGCTCAAAACACGCTCGCTGAACTCGAAATTTTTTAGTAATATAAAATAAAAAATAGTGATTTTTGTCAACCTTTAAACCTGTTACTCAAGTGTGTGCCAGTCTGGATTTCATGGCCTTTTCGAACGAGAAATCGGGCGTGCAATCAGAAATTCCCGCGTGCAAATAAGAATTTCTGGCGTGCAATTATAGCTCACGGCGTGCAAAACAACTGCGCCCGCTAAACTGATTTCGAACTAAGATACCTCTCAATACATCCGCGTAAAAATAAGTTGGATCATAGCAAAAATGGATGTTTGACCTTTGACCCTCAAAACATCATTTCTATATTTTGTCACCAATTTTGAGAGTGTTTGTGCGACTTTAGATACCGGTACTGTTCAGAACATCCGTGTAAAATTATTGTATTAAAAATACGCTGAATCAGAGCCATAACTGGCCAGCGTCGGTGAGGAGGCGATTTTTCTCACAGGATTCCTATCATTCAACACGATATGGTGATTTTTGCTTCGCATTTTTCGATCAGGCCAAATCTTGCAAGCAAGTATTAGTCGACAATTGTAAAGTTATAATTTTTTGGCATCTTTATATTACTAGATTATTGATTTAAAAACTATTTAAACCGATTTACATTGGTGAACAATTGCAAATTTTCGGCGTGCAAAATTGAATTCGCTCGCGTGCATTTTTGTGGAGCGCTAGCGCCCTCGGGCGTGCATCTGCCATGGAATCCAGTCTGGAGTGTGTGGTCGTGTAGAGTTAATAACTATTACACTACCGGTATTTAAATCCAAAAAGCAATATTCGAAGTTTTTCGAATTTGGCAACAAACTGACAAATCAAAACCTTAATTCAGAGACTGGGCATTCAACTTTTAGGTAACTTATAGCATGAAAGTATATATGTTATATATATTCATTTTCTGACTATATAGCCAGCATAGGCTAACTGTTAAGTATGAGTATAAGTTCATTTCGACTCTATAATCAGCATAATAGACGATAACATAATTGAAAACAAAACTGATTATAGAATCAGGAGAGCAAACAAAATCTTAATTAAGGTTTGAAGCATACAGATTTTAGTTGGAAAGGTACCGTATTGTTAAAAGAAGTAGTATGTGTTCGCTCATCCAAAAATATTAAAATCAATTACTCAGTGGAAAAAAATATACAAAAAAATAAGTAATGTTAATTATTAGTGCCTCATCAAAATTTTATCTAACATTGTTTGCGGTGTTCTCACCTCGACACTGTCAAACATATCCATTTGTTGTTCGTCTCCAGTAGGACTTTTTAGCTTCTCATCAATTGCCGGAGGTGCCATCTTCAATTATACTACTGCGACAGCGATTTAATTTCTAAAAAATTGTGTTCTAATAGAATATATGATGATAGCTTGGAGTTTCAAGGTACGGCACAGTACGTAACTTCCAGACCTCTAAATGTAAATCCGTCCCTTCTGAAACGACAGAACAACAAAATCTGACAGTGCAAATATATTAGATGCTTACTCATACTTTTGCCACTGGAGCGTTACGGGTAGTTTTTTAGGAAATAAATACAATTTTGGTTTAATATTTACCTGTTTGTATATTTTATGATTAAATAATTAATTAATAAATATGTTAAGATCAGAGTAAGCATATCGCATCATTTACTCCATATTCTTTTTGATGAGCTCAAACGCTAGGGGGAGAAGCAAGCTACTTCTTAAAAAAAGGACGCGCGTTTTGATTGCGTTCAGTTCACTTTCTGCGCACTTTATGTTTCAGCATTTGCTCTTGGATTGTATCGCGTAATATCAAGATGAGCAAGGCCCATCCACCAGAATTGAAGAAGTTTATGGATAAAAGATTGGATTTAAAGTTGAATGGTGGACGATCTGTTACCGGTGTTTTGCGAGGATTCGATCCTTTCATGAATCTAGTTGTGGATGATGGAACAGAGCGCAGAAAAGACGGGACCACTGCACCCGTCGGAATGGTGGTCGTTCGCGGAAATTCGATATTAATGTTGGAAGCATTGGAAAGGATTCAATGATTTTTAATGAACTAATACCAACCACAAAAAACCTGATTTAACAATCCGTGATTGTGCATAGACTTATAAAACATTTCGATCTATTTTCGGCCTTGCTAATTATCGAAAACAGCGTTAATCATAGTTTCTTTTTGTTTGTGCTGTTTTCGGTAAGTTGTAAGAGCGATTTTTATTTGCGTTTGTATACCCTACTTTGATCTAGTGTAGCTTCCAAACATGTACTACTTAAATACTTGATTGGAAAACAAGCTAAACAGCGACTGCTTACCTCCAATAGTGATGACACTATTGTTTCTATACCCCCAAAGTGGCATTGCGAACCATATGTATTTTAACTTAGCATATCATTGGGAAATAGTATATCTGTTAATATTAAGCAAAATAAAATGCGTAGTTTCCTGTGGCTCTAATTACCTTCGTTCTGTCATTTTTAACTGTTGCAGTTGTGTAATTTCAGTTCATGCCAGATCTATGTATGAATGTAAATGAATTGTAAGTCTTATTTTCTATGTGCCAATAGCATTTTGCTATGGAATAAAATTTTTAAAAGTGAACGTCTATGTTTTAAATCTCAACATAATCCTATTGAGAAAGCCTGCAATGTGATACACATAGACGGATGTGCATATCCGCATTCGCTTAGAAACATTATCCCATAACGAATGCCTGTCAAAATGGGCTGTTATCGTCCTATTAATTGTTTGTCGTTTTCTTTGATCCTTGTTTTCTTGAGATATAAGCAAAGTATAAAAAGGGAAGCCGGGAAAATAACTTCTCCCAACGGATTGAGGAAATAAAAGAATAATACCCAATTTTGATATTTATATGATTCCAAAATCAATTAGATTGCAAATGAAGTGATGTTCCAAGACCACCTCTTACAGTGGTTCCCAACCTTTTATGGCTCGTGGCCACGCTGTTTGTTTATCATTCCAGTGTTATTTTGATTGGTAGATTCCAAGTTCCATCATGTTCAAACAATTCATGCACTAAAAAAGGGAGGAACACCATGTGAAATAACCTCATAAGGCAACGAAACTAGGAAGAACGGAGAGTTTTCTTGAGAAGTGGATAGTAAAATCAGTTTTACGCCTAGCATTGTGCCCCCCCCCCCCCTGACCTAATATTTAATGCCGTACCCTACTTACTTTCTGTGCTCAACCCGAATGAACTACTCACTTATCCTGCCTCTTTCACCTTCCCATTTTAAAAGAGCCAGCACAATGAAAAGTAACTATTATAATGTATCAAATATATCAAAATTTGCAATAACTAAAAAATAAAACATTTCAGTAAAACATGATACCCATGGTGAAATTGAGTAGTCATTTTAGTACAAAAATATATTCTCTGTGAGGGATAAAACGCTGCTATGCTAAAATACAGAACAAGGCACATGTGTCGCCCAAACTACCAAAACAGTCCAGGTAGGGCATGTATAAAACCATCAATGTGACAATGTAGTGACCAAATGAACGATTTGAGCTTTGGACAAAGCTGGAGCTACAAGGTTATACCGATGACATTATGTTAGGCTCAGGGCTGAAAATCAAAGACCTTAAGCTGGACCAGGCAAGATATTTGATGGTGAATTCCATTAACCAGGAGATATTGCTATTTCTTCCTGCCAAGGAGTTGTTTTCGTTGTGCTTCCAACAAGCCTTCTAGATGATCAGCACGCTTAACTGCGGACTCATGCTGTTGTTTTATTTGTGCAACTGATTCTTCTTTTTTCACAATTGCTGCTTTCACTCTTTTGTGTACTTCAGCAAGCTCCTCTTCTTTTTCTTGGTTTACTCGATCCAGTTCCAACCGGTGTCGAGCTCGCATTTGTGCGATTTCATTCTTCATCCTCTTATTTTCTTCCTCTGTGTGTACTAGCCGCTCAGCAAATTCGTCACGAATTATATCTGTGACGTTCCCTCTTTCTTCCACAAGTCTGTTTTTCACCTTTTTCACATCTAAGATTTCTTGTTCCTTATGAGCAATTGTGCTTTTCAGCCTCATATTTTCACCCTCCATGTCAGAATATTGCACTTTCATGTTGTTGTATTTTTCATGAGTCTGTCGTTCCAAAACTTCAATCTCTTTGAGTTCCGATTCATACTTTTCCCGTATTCTCTTGATTCTATTTTCAGCTGTTTTTTCGATTTGACTTCTTTGTACACCCATGTCCTTTTCAAGCTGTTCTATTACAGTTTCAATTTCAGAATCACGATCTTGTCGTACTGCATCTTTCAATTCTCTTTCTTTTTGGAGAACATATGCTTCCTGCTTTTTCATATAAGTTTCTTGCCAAGCTTGTTTTTCTAATTCCAACCGTTCTTTCAGAGTTTCGATTTCCACTGTATGGCGTCGTTCAGCTTCCTCTTTGCTTTTCTCATATTCATCTGTTAGTGCGGAGGTGGCAAGGCTGTTATGTTTTTCCAATTGTTCTTTTAGGCGATCAATGTCAGCTCGTTGTCGAGCAGCTTGCTCATTCAGCCTTTCTTTTTCATCGGATACTTCAGCATACAATCTTCTTCTTTGTTGCTGCAGAGCAATTTCTTCTTGTTCAAGTTGCTTTTCATATCTCTGTCTTGCCATTTCTCTTTCTCGATTGCAAGCTGCATCTTTTTCCCGTTCGAGATGTTCACGCAACTCCTCAGTTTGTCGAATATATCTTTGACCGGCTCTCTCATCTGATTGCAGTAACTCTGCTTCATGAATTGCTTTTATTTTTTTTACTTCTTGTTTATGTTTAGCTATTAACCTTTGTATCTCAGGTTCCAATCCTTTTACAGTCATTTCTTTTATAGTTTTTGTCTTATCCTCAATCCATTTTTCTCTTCGCAACTTCTCAGCAGCAGATAATACTTCTTTTTGCTTTCGGACTTCAATAGCATGGGCCTCTTGAAGTTCTTTTATCTTTTTCTGATATTTACTTTCAGCTTGCTTCATTTCAATAACAACCCTTTCACATTTTTCACCAAGAACTTTTTTGTCATCAATTAGTTGATCGATGAAAGAAAGATGCCTTTGGATTGTTGATTCATATTGCTCTTTCTGCATTTTCAATCGTTGGTTCATTTCTTTTTCCTGTTCATGTGCATGACGAACTGTCAATTCACGTTGCTGTGCAAGTGCTTTCTTTAGCAAATCCACACTTTTTGTCTTTTCGTCCACATTCAGACGTAATTTTAGCAACTCTGTTGTAACTTGAGAAGCAGCTTTCTCTGCTTGAACTAATTCAGCCATTTTATCAGATTCTGAAATTTCTTGATGTCTGTGTTCTGAGACATGACTAGTGTGAGAGCGCGCTGCCTCATACTTTTCATCCTGTTTCTCTACATTATCCAAAAACTCCATGAGATTGCTAAGTTTAGCTTTTGTTAACAAGTTGTTTGTGCTGTCTTGTACCGGTTTTGTACCATCTATGAAATCACCAGCACCACGAGCACTGCCAGAAACTTTTGAATTGGATACAGAGCTCAAGTGATCTGCCTGCATTTCATCTATCCACGCAAGCTTTTCATCAAGTTTACTATTAGTTTCTATTTTTGTTAGTTGCTCAGGCTCAGCTTCAAGTTGTTGTATTGTTTCTAACAAGCTTTCCAAGAGTCCTTGACTTTTTGTCGTTTCTCCTGGTGATTCAGGTAATTCTTCAGGGATACTTTCTTCATCTTGAGAAGGTATATCGTCTTTTTGTGCTGAATTATAGCTTGAACTTTTTGCAGTGGAAAATTTTGTTTCTTCAAATATCCTATCTATTTTATCTTCAACATTTTGAATAACTTTGGAATCGCTTGTTTCAGATCGTTCTGTCTGTTTTTTGTTTTTGTAAACTGTACGAATCCGACTCTGTTTTTGTTTTTCCGCAATAATAGCCATCTCTTCATCCACGAGAGATTTCTTTACTCGGTCCTGCTCTTCGCGGCTTTTTCTCAACTCTGCAATTGCCCGTTTCCGCTCTTCTCTTTCTCGCTCTCTCCTTTGTTTTCTTTTCTGCTCATCTGTTCGTTGTTTTGTTTGCATTTCTTCTTGATGCATCGTACCTTCAACTTCAATTTTCTTTTGATGAAGCATACGCTTTAATGCTGCTTCACTAGATTTAGCACGAACAGAATGCCGCTTGTACCACGTCTGAATTTTTTTCGCAGCTTCCTCTCTTTTTAGTAAATTATTATTTGATATTGGTTTTGGTGCTTTATTATTATTTTGTGAAAGAGCAGAAGAAAATGTACTTGTAACAACCCTTTCATTATCCGAAATTGGTACCACAATAACAGGTGAAGATGGCTCCACACTTTCTTTATATCTTTCAGACTTGTAACTTCGAGCACTGCTATTAACTGGTTTATATTTTGGTAAATCGGTAGAAAAAGATCTGTGGTAATTTTGTGTTGTATTATGAGTGAAATTTGTAGTTGGCTCAAATCTGTCTCTATCAGATTTTTTACTGGGTTTTTTAATATTCGAATTTGTAAGAGTCCTTGGTGAACTATGGTTTGCATTTCTTGGAGTTTCAAACAATGTAAGATATTCATGTGATGAGTTAGTTTTGGGCATATCCACACTGTAACTCCGTGGTGACGGTTTTGAATTTTTGGGAAATTCTAAGGCCATAGCAGGCTTTCGTCGTTTCGGTCTGGTTGACAATGAACTTCTTGGAACTTTTACATCACTTTGTGTAGCAGTTCTATGATAATCACTTGCTGATGATCTTGTTGATCTAGCAGAGTAACTTCTAGCACCTTGCTGAATTGGTGAAATAGATTTTCCTGTCAAACTAAGGTCTGACATTTTTCTGAAATTACAAGGTATGATATAATATCAATCATGACAATTGATTTGATTGATTTAAACAAGCTTTGCCAGACTAATAAAAGTATAATGTATTATAAGATACTCAAGATCATGCATCCGAAAACTGGCTAACTAATCCCATACTTGACATGGACTGGTAACTGGATGAGAGGCAATAGTTCGCGTTCGCCATATACTTAAGCCATCTTATCAGCTCTTCCCCTCCACACCCCCAGGATAAATATGTGAATCCTATACTTTCATCATCAACACAACACGGCGGTGTGGCTTATCGTGCTAAGCGTAAGGAATACGCTCGCCACCGCACCTCTGATTACTCTGCGTTGGTTCGCAGGTTCAAATCCCATGTGGGGATGGTCATATGCGAGAGGATTGTTGGACTCCTCGTCGCTGTAGGGTGGTTCACATAACTGCTGGACGGTTACGACCTCCTCCACCATCAAGTCCATGCTTCCGAAAACAAATAACTAACTAATCCCATACCCGACATGGAATGGTAACCATGACCGTGGTTCGCTATATGGTTAAGCCGTCTTATCGACTTTCCTCTCCTCCAGGATAAAAATGTAAATCCTAATCCTATCCTAACATGAAACTGCTGAACTGCTGGGCCCAACTTCTCCAACAATTTTACAAGTGATCCACTTCGTATTGAACAAACAATATTAGGTCAACTGAATTATAAGTGATGTACTATAATATTTTAAGGCACGAAAGGGCAGGTTTCAAAATCAGGATAGTTATAAACAAGATAGAGAAAAATCAAAGTAATGCAATAGAGCAAAATAAAAATGTGACATTACAGCATTAAATGAATGAAGTAATAAATGCATACATTACTGTATTACCAGTTAATTGCTGCATCTAAGAAAACCAAAATTGTAATTCAATCAACCAATTTATAATATTCTAGGGGCCTAACCAAAGAGAAAGGCTTTGAATAAATATGTCAACACACTGGCAGGACCGTATTACAGTACTACTGCAGTGTTATGTCTCGTCCAGCACACAGCAAAAAATTTATTCCCAAATCACTACGACTGTGATGAAGACCAAAATTAAAAAAAATATAAACACATCAACATAATTTGCCACTCACCTAAGCACAAGACAAATTCCCCCTCAAATCGTCAGATTTTGCAAAAGTAAACAATGCGTAACATTTGAAAACCTCGTACGTTACCATGCTAATGAATCAGCAATTTCAGGATAGCTGAGTAATGATTTTGAGCACTGGTGATTTTTGAGTAGCGCAGTTGAATTTGTAGTCGGGCATAAATTCTGTTTTTTTTGGTTTCTCGTGTGGGAAGAGTTATTATTATGTCTAGGGGAAGCAGCGCTGGTTTCGACCACCACATTACGATCTTTTCACCTGAAGGAAGACTTTACCAGGTCAGTATTACTGTTATTTATAATAAACGTAGAATGAAACATGGGCTGATCTGATACCGTACCGTAAGACTTCATTAATTTGCTGCTCCCGCAAACCATTTTTCATTCTTTTAGTTAAATTTATTAATGTGGCCTCATCTTTCAAAATTCATTTGGTATAATAGGAGATGGTGAACTATAGAACTAACTGCAAGAATCTACAGTTAGGATAAGTTATCATTTTATTCGGGGGATGAGGAAACCTTATTCAGCAGCTTAATCATATCGCATACCACAGCCTCTCGTTCATATACAAGTGGGGGTATAGGATCAATTAGCCATTTAATTCTGATGATGGAGTTAGTCCAGCAATTCCCTTTCACATAATTATCCCCCATGAATTTGAGCCAGCAAAACCAAACAGGGTAATCAATGATGCGATGGAGATAGGATAGGATTTACATATTTCTACTCTCTCTGCGCCACCCACTACCCAGTGTAGATTGAAATGTCAGGGTGTGGTATGAGATAACCGGGCTTCCACTTCTTTTTCACCATTAAAGGCCATACATCTGTAGATAGTAACATATAGAAGAACAAGGGAACATGGTTTCATCGTTTTCATTCCCCTGAAGTATGGGGCCATCTTGGATTGATATTTTATCAAAATATATATTTTTTTTTTAATTCCATGAGAAACGATACATTAATCGATCAATCTATTTCAACTTTGGGCCATGCCTCATTCATACGAATAATACTTATTCAAAGGTCGAATATGCGTTCAAGGCCATTAACCAGTCTGGGCTAACATCTGTTGGAATACGAGGCGATGATTGTGCTGTTCTTGTGACACAAAGGAAGGTTCCTGACAAATTACTGGATGTGAACAGTGTGACTCATATGTATAAGATAACGCCGAACATTGGATGCGTGATGACAGGATTGACTGCTGATGGCCGATCACAAGTTGAACGTGGACGTCAAGAAGCAATCAACTGGAAATATCGTTATGGTTATGAAATTCCAGTTGATGCTTTATGCAAGAGAATTGCAGATGTTTCACAAGTAAGTCCATTTTGAGAAATACAATTTCTCATTTTTTTAACTGAATAGAGCAGTGGCGTCAATTTAATCATATAATAATTGAAGGATTTGTTTGTCATGTAGCAACCCCATAGCCATCGATGTTTTTTGGTACTTATAAGCTAAAATGATATATTTTATTATTTGTACAAGGATAATATAAATAAATTAGGTCGTTTGGAACTGGAACCTTTAAAATGACTGGTGGCGTCATCTTTTTAAACAACTATTTGATTACCCTGATGGTTGTATTGTTATTAATTAGAGGAATATTTATTAGAAAACTAGCAAATTTGGTTTTTAAATGTAAAATTGTACAAGTCAATAATATTTTAACGACTGCGATACATTGCACATTTAATTTAACAAACGACTGTGATTTTAATGTCAGTCTCGCAGTTTGAAAAGGTCAAAAGCCAGGACTACATATACTCTTGCACATATTTTTATCAGACTTTAACACATTTTCAAACAGGTCTACACACAGAATGCAGAAATGCGTCCATTGGGATGTTCAATGATGATCATTGGATGGGATGAAGAATATGAAAAACCCATGCTGTACAAATCTGACCCAGCAGGATATTATTGTGGGTTCAGAGCCACCAGTGCTGGCGTGAAGCAAACCGAAGCTAACACGTTTTTAGAAAAAAAGATGAAGAAAAAGAAGAATACAGCATGGGACCTAGATCATATTGTTGAAGTTGCATTATCCTGCCTTTCATCTGTTTTGTCTGCTGATTTCAAATCTTCTGAAGTAGAAATAGCTGTTGTATCGAAAGACCAACCTAGATTCAGAGTTCTTGATAATGATGAAGTGGATACCTACCTTACTACACTGGCAGAAAAGGACTGATGAATACATAATTTGTGAAAATGATGTATTTGAAAACTGCAAGAGTTCAAAAAAATGCTCAATTGTGTTATCATCGAGCCTGTATATTGAATTTCATATTAAAACTACCAGTCGTTGGAATAAATGCTATTTCATAGTCAACTTTTTCATTTTTTATATATTTTAGGGTAAGGGGTTTTCTCAGAAAAAACACTCCCTGTTTGTGGTGGATGTTCCATTTTGCTGTAAACCCTTTTCTCTCCGTGATCCCTGTACTGATTGATATTTCCTCATCCAGGTCATACACCATCCACAGCACAACACCATGGCAAGTTCTAGAGGAGGTATTATCATATAAATCAAGACTCAGATCTCCAACTGAAACTATTTCTTTATCAGGAACAGGATTAGAAAAATTGAAAGTCATCACACTTTTTGGGTCACTTAGTAATTTGCAAGGATATTCCCATAATGCATGTGGCTCTGCCTCATGATAATCTTTCATCTCCATTGCATGATCTATCATGCCATCCATTACAGACACATCAAAACCTTCAACAATGCCTACAGGCGCCCTAATTTTCCACAAATTTTCGAATTCTACTGCAGCAATATAAAGATGAGCTTTTAATGGCAATATTTGTGCTTCTGCTGCTAAATACGATTGTAAATCAGTTCGAGCATACCAGAACCTTAAGTCATGCCATGGCAGAAAAGACGCATTGAAGAAAGGCTCTCCCAGGAGTAGATTTATTTGATAATTCGATTTATCAGGTGTACTATCATCAGGGGGAAATTTCTCAACAACTGACACACGTTCATCTAATCCATTTTTCTTTACAATATTTCTTATGCCCTTTTGACCAATACTGTCATTTTCGATTGAATATATATGGCCGTTGGTAAAGCATGTCTTACATGCTATCAGAGGTAGAAGACTAACGTCACTCACACACACTGCGACATCATCAACAGATTTACCAAATTTCACTTTTTGCAGTGCTTTTGAAAATGCTAGGTTTCTGTTCGCATCATTAAGCATTCCTAATCTAGGTCTACTCCACAACATTCTTGGTAAATAATCACATACTGGTCGCTCATGAGGTATAATTATATCAGTTTTTTTAGGTTTCGCGTCAAACCAAATTGAATAAGCATCGTGAAATGCAAATATGCAAATCGTTTCACCTTGGATCATATTGAATGGTTTGGGAATGAAATAGACACTTTGAATCCAGTGGTCTCTCCATTGCATATTGTCAGGAGTTGGGTGATACCAATAGGGGGCAGTGCTCAAGATGATTTCTCTTTTCTGGTCCATGCTTAATGTCCACCATGATAAAGCAACCTAAATATAACATCAAGTTTAACAGACATATGAAAATTGCTTCAAATACTAAGATACTGTTATCCAATTTGATTTCATGAGATTGCAATTCCATAATAATATTGTCTTGTTCAGAGACTACATAGGTCAAGAAATCCTGTCATTTGTATGAATAAAATCATATAAAATTAACCAATAATCTATAATCCAGGCCAAATTGGTATTAACAAATTCTTGCTTCAAATTCCCAATATTACTGTAAAAAAGTGCTTCAAAATTATACCTTGTATAAGTTGTATTAATAAAGACATGCAAGTTTATTTGGAAACTTGCCTGCACTTTGCCACTGTTCACTGTTGTTGTTTCAACATACGATTTTCCAGATGAAGCCAATGTTTTGCTTCCCCACTCAAACTTGAATACTTCAACAGCATCTGTCAGTGCAGTAAATTCGCTTCTTTTAATCTGGCTTAGTTGTATGTCATGAACTGCGGGTACACCAGGGCATTTTTCCATTCTTGGGTCAGGATAGATGTCCGTCGATAACCCATTTTCAAGCGGAATTTCAATGGGATTTAGTGAATGCCATGAATCCATAACATCTGACTCAACCAATTGTACATACGTTGTTGCAGAGTGCGGTACCGCTATGCAATCCTAAGTAAAAAATCACAATTGAAACAAACCATCTTGAAGAAAACTAAATTACTGTAGTGAATGTAATCTTACATCTTCCATTAAATTCTTGTGTGCATGTTGGTATGCCTTGAGAGCACCTTCTCCTATAAGCTCTGTATCAAAAAGTTCAGTCACAAGAATATTTGCTTTCTCCTACAATAAAATAAAACTTAATATATTATGCTTTCAAAAGTATACAATCCATCGAATTGAGATATTTAAAGGCATTTGAATAATTGATAAGCTTAACAAACCTGCATGTCTTTATCCTCACCGACAGCTACCTCAGAGGAGTGTTTATTGATGACATTGATTTTACCAAATCCATTGGCTGCTGTAACAGATCGTGCAACTTCTGCCATTGGTTCGAATACCTTGTTCATAGAAGAAATTGTAACTGATTACAAAGATGTATTATAAATCAGGCAATTAGGATCCAATAAATCAGATATATAAGACATCATAAAAATACCTTGGCAGGGTGGCGCATCCTGTTAAGCGTTATGAGATAAGCTCCCCTGATTACCCTGCGTGGGTTTGCGGGTTCGAAACCTGTGGGGGATACTTATGTGCATGAGATTTGCTGGACTCCTCGCTGTGATTTATTAACCCCTGGTTGGTCACAGCTTCTTTCACCCTCAAGTCCATACCTGACATCGACTGGTAACTAGACTAGAGGCCATGGTTCACCATATCATTAAGCCGTATTAGCGGCTTCCTTCTCCCCCTTGAGATAAATATGTAAATCCTATTCTATCTTACCTCAATTGCAGTGATGGAATCAGCTCCTGCAGTGGCAGCCATCATTGACAATAAGCCTGTTCCTGTCCCAATGTCAAGTACTTTTGCCCCTTTTCCTCTTTCATGCATGCTTTTCACAGCCAATTTAATAGCTTTGTAATACATTTGATTTCTTTCTGTATCATGAAGCATGTCCGCATATGATGACCGAGCAACATCTAAGAAAAACATATATCTGTATATACTCTTAATGTTAATTGCACACAATTGAAGTCTCACCAGGTAAAACACAAATTTATATTCTAATATTAAAGACATGCTGAATTCAGTCCAGTAAAAGTTGTGTAAACAAGACTTGAATTAACAACTCATATCAATTTGAGTAAATTGTTTCCCCCGGTAGAGCCTTATGATGAAACAAAGTAGTTTGCTCAGGCCAGGTACCCCAGTTCGAAGTGGTTGATGCAGTGATGTTGACAGAAAAGAATACTTCTGACTATACATTTAGTTTACCTGAATACAGCATAGACCCACAATATATACAAGTATACAAAAACGACATTATCGTACAGAAAATCGGCAGTAATTAATAAAAAACTTACCTTGGAAATAATCATAGTCTTCCTTATTTTGAGCTACCCACTCCATTTTCCCAGTGGTAGGATTAATTCGTTGATTGAATAGTAACTGTGACATTTTTAAGCGGAACACTTGTGCCGGGGTAATTGCAGCGACTTTTTGCAACACTTTGGGAATGGAAAACGAACTTTGTCTGATGCAAAATAGCATGAATCCACGAGAACGACCATGAAACAAAACGATCACCCAATAAGTACTTTTTTTAAACTCACACTCGAGATCTTAGCCACATAAATCTACTTTTAAAATAATGATTCCATTGTAAAGCAAACCATGTGCGTCGCGCTCCCATTTCCAAGTGCAGTTTTAAGTATTTCATGGCGTCTGCAGCTGCCACAAAACCATGGCGGTATTTCCATACCATGGCCGCTACGGCCAAACCTATGGCGACTGACTTTTTAGCTGCCACAAACCAATGTCGAGCTGCCGTTACCGCGGCAGCAAATTGAAAACCAATGGCAGGTAAAATTTTGCTGCCGTAACCGCGGCAGGTGGGCCGTAAGGACAGGGCTGTCCCTTATGGTGACAAATATTGGGTAAGTTGGAACGTTTTTTTTTATGGATACAGTCTTGATGGATTTGGGGTTAGGGTTAGGGTTTAAGTAGATATAATTCCGCATGATCAATTAGAATTTGGTACATTAGTTTGTGAATATACCGTTAATACTGATTACTGAATACAGAATAGCGCTATAAAACCATGGCAAGAGCTGCCGCGGTTCGTTCGTGGCAGGAGCTGCTATGAAGTGGTAAGAACTGCGCCTCCCCATTTCTCAGACTTACAGCAATGCACGTGCCTTAGATACAGGGTGAAAGTGAACATAATATTTGTTATGAGAATTAAGTTCAGTTATTCCTGTTGCAGTGTGCTACACTTTTTTTTTTTTTTTTAAATGGATCCACAATGTGGATTATTCAATATATTCCGTCATTATTACATTATCGTTCTTTGTGTTGTGATCACTGATTATCGTCAAGCGACAACGGACTGCATTTGCCTTACTGCATTAGTCACGTGCCGTTACGAGTATTAGACGGTAATCCGATTAAGGCGCGGCGGTGTGGCTCAACGGGCTAAGCGTTAGGAATACGCTCGCCACCGCACCTCTAATCACTCTGCGTGGGTTCGCAGGTTCGAGTACCATGCAGGGATGGTTATGTGCGAGAGGATTGCTGGACTCCTCACCGTCGTTGGGTGGTTCACGTAACCGCTGGTCGGTTACGGCTTCCTCCACCACCAAGTCCATGCTTCCGAAAACAAACAATACAGTAAAACGAATCCCATATACCCGACTTGGAATGGTAACCGGACGAGAGGCCGTGGTTCGCCATATGGATAAGCCGTCTTATCGGCTTTCCTCTCCCCCGGGATAAATATGTAAAATCCTATCCTATCCTTTGGCTATACTTGTGACTCAATGTAATTATTACTTATCGATCTTAAGATCGGTAAGTATATTGATAGGTATTTGTCTGTATGTCTGTCTGTGTGTCTGTTAGATGAACGCGATATCTCACGAACGCGTGGTTGAATCTGCTCCAAATTTTGCATGTGAATGCATCTTACCTCGGACCAGAAGCCTATAGATTTTGGGTTAATTATGTCGTATAATTAGCGAGTTATTAACTAATTACCGATCTAAGATCGATAAGTCTTCGGTCTCCGACCGATATTCTCGTGTTGCATGTTCTTGTGTTTAGGTTAAGATGCGTTTTTAGTTTCTTAAAGCCATAATGTTGGGTGTAATAAATAGACTGTCATAACAATTTAAGAAACTAAAATCTTAAATATGGATGCATCGATGAAACCAGTGAGACTTGACCTAAATCTGAATTCTCCAAGCGCGGCGAAGGAATGGAAGCACTGGCGAAAAACATTTGAGAACTACATTGAAGAATTAGAGATGAGTGTACAAGAGGGCAAGTCTGTGAATAAACTCTAGAGGCTAATCAACTCAGTATCTCACAATGTTTATGAATATATTGAAGATGTGGACGCTTATAGTAAAGCTATGGAAGTGCTACATAACTTATATGTCAAGACGCCAAATGAAATATTTGCACGACATCTGCTAGTTACGGCAAAGCAACAAACTGGTCAATCCATCGACGAATTTTTACAAACTCTGCGTAATCTAAGTAAAGATTGTAATTTTAAAGATGTTTCAGCCGCGCAGTACCGCGACGAACTTATACGTGATTCTTTTATCAATGGTATTTTGTCAAATAACAACCGACAACGTCTTTTGGAAAACAAGGACTTGACTCTTGAATTAGCTTTTCACAAGCTTCATCACTTGATCTGGCGCAACGTAATTCGTCAGCATATGAAGCATCTCGAATCGACGAATTGCAACCTTCGGCATTGGCCACTTCCGAAACCTCTTTCGACAATGAAGGTATAGTAACTGGCCGTATAACAGGGCGAAAATGTATATTCTGTGGATATATTTACCACAATCGTCAAAATTGTCCCGCACACAATGCCAATTGCTACAAATGCGATAAAAAAGGCCACTTTGCCAAAGTTTGCCGATCAAAGATGAATAAATCTGAAGACTCTTCTATCTATAATGGCGTCAGTAAATCCATCAGTCCACGATGTGCAATCAGCACCACGGTGTTTACTGCCGGCAACACTTCCAGATGTCATAGCTGGTCGCAATACAACTGCGTTGATAGATACCGGAAGCTCTCTCTCTTTTATAAACGAAAAGACTGCGAGAATGCTACGTTTGAAAATTTTGCCTTTACGGGAAAATGTAGTGATGGCTGTCCAGCATCTGCAAGGAACAACTATTGGATCCTGTTTAATAGGCCACGAGCCGAGGCCATTTATCTTTCAGTTCCGTAGCGCACATAAGGTAACTGCCTGAAAATGTTCCTAAGAAATTTAGTAACAAATATTGCCTTGTTCCCACTTACAAAAGTTGCACGTTTTACAGAAAATACGCTTTTATTACAATAAATATGTGTTACCATCTGTCCTATTTTCTATGCTTTTCCGGTATCATGGGCCAATGAACGCAGACTTCTGCATGACGTGACAATCAAATAAGTCAGCTGTAGGTGAATCCCCAGTGGTCGGATGAATATCAGATGTACTACTACTGCTCCCTTTTGCGTTGAGTAGCCTTTCCATAGTTTTTTTCAGTTATTATTAGTTCAGTTATTCTAAGGAGGTGTTGAAAAGTATAAGTAAGATATTAAACACTTGTATATCCTTACCATAAATAGCAATTTTTGTTGAGCACTAGCTCATAAGACGTTGTTAAATAGGTACGGTGCGGTAACTCCAAGGAAGGCTAGACCTAGAATAATATGTCACAAACAACGATATTTTCTGGCTTGCATGAAATGTTTATGATTAATTTAATGACTCTTCTTGACTATTCAGCAGACTTATACTACTATATAGGCCACAGCATATTTGAAAATAGAAATTAATGGCTGTTTCTGTAATGCACGGTTGTGTAAAAGAGAAGAAAATAATCAATTTTACTAATGTCGGTTGGTCTAAATCTAAATCCATAGAGTCTACAAGAACCTGGGAAGCAATGATAAGGTAAGTTATGCCGGAGGAGAAAGAAAGTAGCATTGGAAACGATTGAGAGGTGAGAAATCAAGTTGTAGACAGACAGTTGATGTTTTAAAATATAGTCTAGGCCAGGGGTCGGCAACCTTTTGTCGTTCGCGGGCCAAAATTAAAGGTTGCAAGTCATTGGCGGGCCGCACATATTTTTAGAAAGTTAAAAATCGAATGAATGACCGATGAATCACATTTTATCATACAGATCAGAAGTTAAATTTTAAGCAGCGCGACCATTTGAATATTTTTTGCGCCATTAAATCATTTGCACTTAGCATCAACTTTTCTGCGTTTTGTTGCCATTTGTCTAAATTATATTTAAATTATAGGCTCATTAAACGAGTAATTGTGAATTTTATACTTGTTAGATTATAATATAATTTAGTCTACACGTAAATTCTTTTGCGTAAAGAATATAATCGACAAAACAGCTATAATTTGTTACTATAATTCAGTGAAGCGTCGCGGGCCGGATTATATTGCTCCGCGGGCCGGATTATATTGCTCCGCGGGCCGTAGGTTGCCGACCCCTGGTCTAGGCCTATAGTCCATACTCATACTGTCATATGGCATTTCAGACTGTGAATTCAGGGATGGCCATTTCCGAATACTAAACTATTCCGAATACATTCTAAAATAATGTTTTCGAATCTGGAATTCCGAATACATTCTAAAATCAAAAATAACACATTTTTGTTTTAGTTGATTAAAACCCAGTAAATTAGGAAATAAGATTCAATAGAAATATCAGAATGAAGCCACAAACCAACAGTATATGTACACAAAGTAATTGATAGTTCATAGCTATCAATAAAAAATAATAGCAACTTGTGACACAGTCAGTTTATTAAAATTATTCATTTTGTACAAATGACCATATGAAAAGATAGCCAAGGAGTTGTCTGACGCTTTCTATCATTGGTACCATGATATTACGATAATAGTCGAGTCTATTGACAAAAATACTACTTGTATTCAGATAATTGTGTATATTTTCTGAGAGTAATAAAATTTATTGGCAATACAGGCAACAACAATCGAAAATCTATTATGCCTTTAAAAATTCTAATATTTAAGCCTAGAGTATTCTACTACCTACCAGTATATTTGTATATAAATTTATGTGAACCATATTGTTATTATGTGTAACATATTGTTGTGTTTGGAGTTAGAAATAAATTAGTAGAGAATAGATGACCACCACTGCCAGCGCGCAGCCAGGATTTTCGAAATCGGAAATTCTCATTGCCGCCTGTAACACCCACCGCGATTCCGCGCTCGTTAAAAGAACCGTCTTGTCAGCGTATAATGATCATTCTGTTACGTAAAATATTCAATCCATGACAACTACGAGATTCTAAAATATCTTTATATATTAATTTGATGTGTCCAACATAACTCGCGGTTGCTTCTTCTTACGTCAAAAAAAAACATTACTATTCGGTCCACGGCAATCTGTGACCTAAAATTACGAGATAAACTGCTTGATGTATTTAATTTCAATATGTATTTTTGCAATCTTGCCAACTCGTTATCGCCGTTAGAAAAATCTCAAATAATTATATAAAATCCTGTTAAGTGTAGAGAATAATTCATTTCATACAATAAATATACATATAAAGTTTAGCAGTAAATTAAAAATACATATTCATCGCCGCGATTATGCCACCTGTTAAAAGAGTCGACTTTTACAACAAATAAT